TCTGGTCACCTTAGAGTAAGGCTACAGGTGGACGATGAATGGCCCCTCCCAGAGGAAATAAAAGAGGAGCAAAAGGGGAGTGGAGTTTGCAGGAGACAATTAGTTTGCTTAATTGGTTCGTGACTCTCTGAGACTCCTTGCCACGTTCTGCAGATATCGGCCTGTCAGCTTTCCAAGCGAGGTAAGGTCTGTGACTTTAAATCCTCCCTTGAAAGACATTGCTGGATGTGAATGAGCAGAATTCACAGTAAATTAACAAAAGGGGTTTATGTTGGGACAAGGAGTTTGCTTCATGCTCTTGGGAAGCCTAGGTCAGAACAGTTAGTGTCCATCCATTGTTTCTCGCCTTTTGGTGCTTTGGAGAATAGGTTGACCCCCTCTTTTTGTGGAAGATCTTCAAATATTCGAACACTGCTATCATGTCAACCCTAGCCCTTCTTTTCATTCTTAAGCGTCCTGAAAACAAAACAAGGGCTCAACAATGGAGTTTGCTTAAAGAAAGCATCCCATAATAGATTGCTGATCCCTCCTTCCAGATCAACAATTGGGTGATTAACCTGGTGACTTTTTCCTAGATTTCACACCCTTCAAAAAAAACAAAAAAAACAACACCCTGCATTGCCGTGATCAATATAAGACTCACATTGGACTTCGGATAGAAAGTGGTTAAGTCTGGCAACTGAGGTTCATGCAGAATTTGTTACTTTTTATTGCAGCTAAAGATAAACGTTTATTGGTCATTGGGAGGCTAAATCAGTGCATTTGATGCGTTGACAGCAAATCAAACAAAATAATCAATGCTTTCCAATTCATCCTATTGACTTGCAGCCCAAGGCACAAAGCTTGACATGGTTGTTTAGATAGTATCAAATTGCTCTAGTTTTGAGAGTGTAGGCAATTTATTCAGGATTTTCTGATTAGCATTTTTTTTTAATGCTCTTGGGCTTTCAAAAAGTCAAGGGCAATGGGAAGCAGACTGAAGCATGAATGTGCTTTGTCTAGACCAAGAATGTTATTTGATATGGGGAAATACTTCTGCTATTCTAATACAAGAACTGGACATGCTCCGGGGCTTGGCCATTCTCAAATGTACTGCAAACTATTTCAACCATCTATGCCAATCATGGCTAACCTTTTTGTTGAGGTGTGCCAAAAGTGGTGGTGGGGATTGTGCACGCATGTGCCCACACCCATAATGCAATCATCCTCCCCCATGCATGCATGCATTAACACCCCCACCCCATTGCCACGCATGTGTGCAGGCCTCACTGAAGTCTCCGGACTTCCGGTTTGCACATTGGGCTGTTTTTCGCTCTCCGGAGGCTTCCGGAGGGAGAAAAACAGCCCAACGGACAAGCCAGAAGTTTATTCCCGAACTTCCGGTGGGCCCCATTGGGCCATTTTTCGCCCTGCCAGGCTTACAGAGGTTTCTCTGAAGCCTCCGGAGGGTGAAAAACAGCCCAACATGTAAACCGGAAGTCTGTTCCCGAACGTCCGGTTTGTCCGTTGGGCAGTTTTTCGCCCTCTGAGGGCTTCAGAGAAGCCTTTTGAGGGGAAAAAATGGCCAAAAATTAAGGCTGAAAATCAGCTGACCAGCATGCACATGCATGCTGGAGCTGACCAGGCAATGCCTCACATGCCCTCTGAAATGGCTCCACGCACCACCTGTGGCACATGTGCCACAGGTTCATCATCATAGTGCTATTGCTATTCCGTGCGCCTTTGGCATGTAGTCATGCTGGCTACATGACCATGGAAATTGTCTTTGTACAGTGCTGGCTCCCTTGGCCAAGAAACAGAGATGAGCACCATGACTTAGAGTGGGGCCCAACTGAAAGGGAAACTTTTATTTTTAATCCAGCATCTCATTCTTCTATAGAAAAATCTGCTTTTTCACCCAGGAGCCACCTGCATGTTCCCTGATCAGAGATCTCACCAGATGGCTTTGTGACTTTTGTTTCAGTCCCATCTTTCTTTCTAAAAGGTTCTGGCTGCTGAGAAGACAGGGTCTCATCTGTGATTCTACAAGACAAATGAGCAGATCTAGAAGGCAGATGAAACTACGTGTTCTGACCTAGGCTTCCCCAAAAAGCAGGAGGCAGAGTCCTGGTCCTGACAAAACCCCTTTTATTAAACGAATGTGAATTCCTCTCATTCACTTTCAGCAAGGCCTGGCAAACCGTCTTTCAAATGAGTAATTATGGCTACAGACTTTATCTAGCTTGGAAAGCTGCCATATAAATATTTTCCAAACGAGGTGCTGTGCAAGGAAAGACTGGGCACAGAGTCTCTGAGATTCATGGACAGATCTTCACACTCCTGAAATGAATCTAACGACCGAACAAACAGTTTCCTGTAAAAGCCCATTCCCCTTTTGCTCTTCTTTTATTTCCTATGGGAGGGGCCATTCACTTTCACCCTGTGGCTTTACTCCCAAGTATAGCCTGATTTCTGAGTTGTTCTTTTCTTCTGGCAGCTCTGCGCATGTGCACACTGGGAACAAGCTCCAGCTATTCCTCTGCCTCACTGCTAAATAGTTCCAAAGGCACCTGATCACTGCCAGACAGCCTTGGCCCCGTCTCTGCCTCTGATGCAGAGCCCTCATCCAAGCCTTCCCCAGCCTCCAGGACTGGCCCATGCTCCTCCTCACTGTCCGACTCTGCTGGCGGGCCACAACACTACGAAGCAATACATAGAGCGGGGCAACTTGATGACCTGTAAATTTTGGCCAACAATCCCACTGAGTCTGGAATCTAAAACTGTCATTCATAAGTCTACAATATTTTCCCAACTTTCTTCTTGCCACAAAACACCCCCTTAAGAGTGAAAAGTTGGGGGAAACGTGCAAACTTCATGAAGAAAGAAAACAGCCATCACTTTAAGAGTAGAAGCAACCAGGGCTGGTCCTTTGCTGTTTCCAGGGCAGCCCCACAGACCAGATCTAAGCACCCCGAGGGCCTCGAGTTTGACACCCATGGTAGAAAATATGTTTCTCAGGTTTATTAGTATAGCAGGCAGAAAACTCTTAGTCTTATGGGAAGGATGGGGGGACGATAAGAGCAATGCCCCTTAGGAAGGAATAATACAAGCATGCTCTGCTGGATCAGACCTTTGGCCCCTCTGTTCAGTAGCCTGTTCACAGTGGCCAACTAACCGCATCAGGGAGCCCATTAGTCTCCCAGCTGGTGGTCTTTAGAGGCAGTCCCATTACCATCAAGACTAAGCGTTATTGATACTCAAGACTTGGTCCAATCCCATTTTGAAGCCTGCCAGGTTGATAGCCAGCAACACACCACATTCCAAAGTTTAATTGCTCATTGTGTACAAGTTTAATTGAACATGGATGTAAGGAGCCAGGGTTCAGGGTTCCCCCGCTCCAATTCCAACACAAACGGGACTTTGAAGAGGGAATGAAGGGTTCCATTGGAGGGATTTTATTAGGGTTTTTTTAAGTCTAGAAAAATCTAGACAGGAAGGAGGCTTTGTAATGAAGGAGAAAATGGCAACGGAAAACTGTTGCCTTCCATAATAATTTAGTTGTACATCCTCCGGAGCCATTCTGAGAGTGAGATAGCCAGTACTGAAATAGGAAGGAAGGAAGGAAGGAAGGAAGGAAGGAAGGAAGGAAGGAAGGAAGGAAGGAAGGAAGGAAGGAAAAGGACAGACAGAGAAAAGAAAGGGAGGGAAGGAGGAAGGGAGGAAGACATTTAGAAAAAACTCAAGTATCTCAAGAATGAGGATGAAATGAAACTTCTTTTACAGAGAAAAAAAATCAGGGTTATTTTACTGCAAGGCAGATTATGAAACAAAATTAAACTCCCAATGCACTGTCAGAAGAGGAATTATTATGTCCTTGTTCACATATCTCAATTTAAAATATACACGTGGGGTGAGGACAGCAAATTAATTTGATAAATAAATAAAATAATGGAAAGGAG